ATTATTGAAAAAATTATAATCACGCATACTTTATACATTTACAAAATATATGTTCATGTATGTGTAAGTGTGTATAATACAAATTTGACAATAGACTCCACCAATAATGTTGTTGGTTATCAACTAAGTTTTAAGCAATGAGCATACTTTAAAAATATGAAATGGATGTTCTGTGATACTCGAAAGGTATCGTATGACTTAGGCTATCGGCAAGAAATCCTAGTGCTTAGAGTATATCTCACTACAGGTATTTTCTACATTTATGTAAACTTCATAATCCTGATCTTTATGTCCGTTGTGCCTGGCACACAGCAAGTCCTTTGTAAATGTTAACTCTTATTAATATTGACATTATTATTATCTCCAACAATGGTCAGTACAGAGATGGACAAGATGAGTAAACTGAATTTATTCAGGGAATAATTTTTCACTAATAATTGGTATTTTGGCCATTTCTGCCTTTGGTCATATTCTCTTTAAGTATACATTGATATATTGGGGCGTCTGGGTGATTCAGTCAGTTAAGTGTCTGCCTTTGGCTCAGGTCATGATCCCAGGGTCCTAGGATCAAACCCCCTGTCGGGCTCTCTGCTCAGCGAGGAGCCTGCTTCTCCTCCCTCCGCCTGCCACCCCCCTGCTTATGCTCTCTCTTTGTCAACTAAATAAATAAATAATTCTTTTGAAAAGTATGCATTGATATAAACAATTTGTGTCCGTGCTTATTTTTCCCTCTCTTTCTTCTAGCTTTCTAACTTTGCAGATTTGTTGTTTTCTTCCTGTGTCTTCTGTCACTCATCTTATCCTCAACATTCAGGTACATCTACCCAAAAGAGATAGTGAATGCCTGAATTTCCTTGAGAAATAATAATCTCTCAGGAATATATGTGGGGTATATTTTTGGTCACCAGAAAAGAATTCTATTTACAGACTCCACAGAAGATTTGAGACAGCTTGTGGATACCCCAGGGTTTTGGGTTTCTGGTAATTTGTGTCCCCTGAGGGAATAACAACCAGGCAGCCATGTGGGTATTAGGACTTCTATTGTATAGGTGAAGTTATACAAACTAGTGAATACTTATCAACTCAGTATCATTGACAGGTTGTTGACAAGTTCAACAGTCACTCAGTGCACTCCTCTGTTTTGGAATACCCCATACTGATACTAGGTTTTGTTTGGTCAGATAGAACATAGGAGAACATTTCTACCTGAATGTTGAAATAGCCACCTCTACATAAAACTGTAACTCTTGCAGATAAAGGAAGTAGAATAGACATTGCAATTCTCTGATATAAAAAAAATGAATACCATTTTAGAAGTTTTGCCTCTTTTAAGCAAAAATATCTTTATTGAGGTCTGAACATTTAAAATGCTATAATACTACCATATGCAACGAATATAACCCTACAAAGACAACGAAGGAACAAAGCATGTATATAAATCATTTTTGCCATATGAATATATATAATTGCTAGATTTATTTTTCCAGTAATAAATATATCTTACCATTGCTAGGTTGGTTTTGATGCTCCATGTTAAGATTTAACTTACTTTAGATTCATTTGGAAGCATGGAGCCATTCTGAAGCAGGTGCAGCATTCAAATGAAGCCCCATTCTGAATGCTACTCATCAGTCCATAGTGGAAAGTGGAAGACCTCAAATGCTTATTGCTAGATGTTAATCAGAACTTGCTGGTAATTTTGACTTAAGCCTGAGATTCCTCGCAGTCTAGTCACAAGAGCAAAATCCAAGTAAGCAACAAACCAAACAAATTCTTAGAAAATGCTGTAGACACCCACCCAGACCCTTTCCTGGCTCCCAAGGGCTCTTTCCAGCCAAGGCTCTTATAGCAACATATCCTCCCCCAAAAGTTATTTAAGGAATAATCGTGCTCTTGAAGATTACCCTTCATCCCTTTCTCATTTTCCCTATTAACATAGTTATCTGGGTTTTTTTTTTAATTTGTACAGTAAAATTTACTCTCCAGCAGGTAGTTCTTTAGTTATGACAAATGCATGAAGTTGCGTAACTGCCACCACAGCCAGTCGTGTAACCGCCATCCTCCAAAATGTGCTCATGCTACCCTTTTCCTCACCCTCAACATAAATTGATTTTGACATAATCCTAATTATTTTTTTTACCATTTTTGTCCTTGAAAATCTACCCACTGTTGAGCTCTTCATTGTGTTCTAAATTTCAGATTCTAAAGGCCAAATGTGGGGGGACTTCAGCCTACATATGTTTAGGAAATTATAATTACAGTAACAATACTAGCACATGGACACCATGCTGTCTTATGTATATTGACTCGTTTAGCTTTTATAACATCCTTGTGAAGAATGTACTATTATTATCCCCTTTTCCAATGAGGAAATGGAGTCCAGATTCTTTGGGTAATCTCCCATAGCACATTAGGTTCAAAGCTGAGATTCAGAGCCAGTAAGTCTGGCCTGGTGTTACACACTCATTTCTTATGCTCCCCAAAGAAGGACCTTCACTGAATAACAACTTCCCATAAAGTTTCAGTCATGCTAGATGAGTAAGTTCTAGAGATCTAGTGTACAACATTGTGCCTATGGTTTATAGTACCGTATTATACATGTAACATTTTGCTAAAAGGATAGATATTAAATGTTCTAACTAGAATAAAAAATAAATAAAATTGACAACCATTTTAAAAGAAAAGGACCTTTACCAGTAAGATCCATCAGTGTTTTGCAGCTTAGATGTTAGCAATCCTAACCACTATGAGATTTCTTCAGGAAGGTTGCTCACTCACATCTCGTCTGATTATCTCCTAAAAAGCTTGATAAGCAAAACTGAGAACTTACCACTTTTCTATGTAATTCAAAACAACTTGCATTTTCCCAAATGTCATAATAAGGCACAAAGGCTGATTCATTTGGTTTAAACAAATCCACTCCTCTTTTATCCATGGAGGAAACCAGCCTTAAATAATGTTGATAATTCCCAGGCTCTGATCTAAATCATGCCATCACCTTACCTTTTACAGTACCTGATAGAAACCTACCTTCACTGTTTACTTCTGTCTTTAAATAGTTAAGCACTATAAGCTATTGCTGTATTCTGTTTTAATCAGTTGGAAGTCTTAAGTTCACATCATGTTGCCAATTATCAGAATTCTCATGTCTTCATGTAACAGATCTTCCACCATAGTGGTAATCTTGGATGGCTCTTCCACTGTACCTGAGTTTGTAATTTATCCTTTTTTCTATCCATCTTCTCTGCTTGATAGACCAAATAGAGATGTAAGACACTTGCAATATTCTGAACAGAACACAGTTTGAAAAATTAAATGCCAGTTTGCTCACTAGATATATCTATAAAATGCAACTGAAATTTAAATTTGATATAAGTAGGTTAGAAGACACTCTAAATGTTATTTAGTTTTGTGCCACCAAATCCCATCCCAGAGGTTGTATTCTTTTTATTATTATTATTATGTTATGTTAGTCACCATACAGTACATCATTAGTTTTTGATGTAGTGTTCCATGATTCATTGTTTGTGTATAACACTCAGTGCTCCATGCAGAACGTGCCCTCCTTAATACTCGTCACCGGGCTAACCCATCCCCTCACCCCCTCCCCTCTAAAACCCTCAGTTTGTTTCCCGGAGTCCATAGTCTCTCATGGTTCATCTCCCCCTCTGATTCCCGCCCCTTCATTTTTCCCTTCCTTCTCCTAATGTGCTCCATGCTATTCCTTATGTTCCACAAATAAGTGAAACCGTATAATAATTGACTTCTAATGGATCCTCACAGCGTCTTCAGCACATATTGAAAAGTACAATCCATTTATAATGCTGGCCAATATTGTGTAATCACAGACAGGACCATAGTTAGCACAAGCCCCTCCCCTCTCTATAAGCAGATAAATTAGATTGTTAAGCACTTTCCTCCAAGCTAACTAGGTGCAATGCTGTACAAAGTCGATCTCAGAACACACTCATCCTCTCTGCATGAGATCATTGTGCAGGTTACAAGCTGAACAGCATTCAGGACAGTCCTGATCACAGAGCTCATCCTCTGCCTATGTAGTGAGTTCAATGGCTGGTAAACTCATTTCCATGAAATTATTAATACAAGCATCCAGATTATTTTATGAAGTAAAACACGCTTACTTTTGTTTTAGCCTCAATAGTCACATTTATAGTGTCATATAAAAATGTTTAACACTCAGTAAGTGAAACCACAGTTATTCCATTAAAAGCAAATTGAAAGTGAAGAGAACAATCTATCTATTGGAAATGTGAATGCTTCACCCAGAGTTGTTCTCAGTCCCTGGGGCAGTCACCGGGCCCACACACTTTTTATACTCAGGAGGGATGTAATAGTGTTTATATAGGTGATGATATAAACTTTGGATACACATTTTGCTCTTAAAATAGCATTATTCATTTTGAAACAGAAATGCTGCATCATCCTTGGGGCAAGGAAACACAGAAACATAGATAGTGTTGGCCATGAGTGCTCACAGTTATTAAGTCAGGGGTATGACTTTTGTAATCAGAACGGAGGCAATACATAATGATCTTTCTTTTTAATCAAGACACATGCAAAATGAAATAATCATTAATATGAAGCAAAGAGTATATGCTATCGTATTTTCATGAAGATTTAGATGTAAAAAATAAATTCTACATATTCTAGAGTTAGACTAAGAAAAAATAATTTTAATTTACATCATTCAATTACTGGATAATACATTAACTAGTAAGACAGAATCATTGTGGGCGCCTGGGTGGCTCAGTTGATTAAGCGACTGCCTTCGGCTCAGGTCATGATCCTTGAGTCCCAGGATCGAGTCCCGCATCAGGCTCCCTGCTCTGCAGGGAGTCTGCTTCTCCCTCTGACCCTCCCCCCTCTCATGTGCTCTCTCTCTCTCATTCTATCTCTCAAATAAATAAATAAAGTCTTTAAAAAAAAAAAAAAGACAGAAGCATTGTAGGCTTAGGTTTAATTTTACTTTATTTCCCCAGATTAGATGCAAATCACTTGGTGCTGAGAGGGAAAAGGAAATGAAAGTAAAATATATAAATCTTTCAAATAATGACTTTTATTTTCATCAATAAACTCAAACTATTATAACTGCTATGTTATGGCAGAGAATGGTAGTTTTAAAACTGGTCAGTGTTTCTAGTTGTGTAAGTATTAAAAACCGTTTTGTTATCAACTTAAAATTAGTCTAATTCTTTTTTTATTATAATTTGACATTTAAATTCTTTTTTATTTTATACCCTCATCATTTGATATGATTTATTCTGTAAGCACTTATTTAATTCCTATTGTGTATGAAATGTTAGATTAGTACTATGAGTTTAACACCATAAAGATTTTATTATTTTTCTGGGTTGCTAATGAAAACTTCTGGTTTCTTGATTTTTAACCACCAAACAGTATTTTCTGAATATCTGGTTATGTTATTGCCAATGGACATCAAATGTACTTGGGATTCAAAGGATGTTTTCTTCTTCTCTGCTTCTAAACCTTTAAAAAAAAAAAAAAAAAAGCCTTACTGACTGAATTTTAATTTGTCTGTTTTATATTCCCTTATTCTGCTCCCCTTTCTTATCATCATCTTGCCCACACCACTACAAGGACATCATCTTACTGATTTATTTATTTTTTTTACAACCCCCCCCCCACAAAACTAGTGAAAAAGCATTGTTTACATACATAAACACTTTCCTCTGACAGCACAATACCATGTGGTACTCAGAGAAGCAAGGTGATGAGCAAAGAACATCTGGAATCTGGGAAGAATAAAGTTCAAATCCCAGCTTTGTGACCTAGTCACTTGGGATCTTTAACATTATTATAAAAACCCTCTGATTCTCAGCTTCCTGATAAAACTATGGGGGGGGAAATCACCTTAAAATTTGTAAAGCACTAAATGTAGAACTATAGTTAAGATATATTATTTTGGTATGAGGCAGCCTGAGCCCATTAGCCCATGTAAATTTTACTTAACTTTTCAAAGTATCTGTTTCTTCATTCACAAAATTAGAAAATAAGCTCATTCACAGAGTTTGTTCAGCAAGGCATCAGGAACAAATAATAGTAACCAACATTTCTAAAAAAACTCACTATATTCTATGGCTAGTAATTTGTACAGATCATTTCATTCAAATCTCACAAGTTCCATAAACTTACGAAGTATGTACATTGTTATTTCCATTTTGCAAGGGCTTTGAAAGATCTTATGACTCGTCTCAGCTTTCACAGCAAGTAGCCAGACTCTGGTGCTTGTGAATATATCACCTCCTCCAAAAATGTAAAAAATAAAAGCGAATTTTGTTCATTATTTTTTACATTGCTAGTTTCTACCTCCCTTCATTACCCCCCACCCTTTTCTTTCCTAATACATATTAAGAAGCTATAAGAATTTTGAATTCAAAGACTGGCTCCCTGGAAGAAAGTCCAAATCTAATCCAATTATGTGTGTGTGTGTGTGTATGTATATATTTGCATATATATTATATATGTTAAATATGTATTCATTATATATATAATATATATTAAACATCTTATCTTTTCTAGCAGCAAAATAAAAGATTATAAATTGTTTTTCACTGTCTCTTAATAACCCAAAGCCCAGATTTTTAAGATAACACTCAAATTATTATCAATCTTTGTGTTAAAACATTTTTTGTTATATATTTCAGATATACATCTTTATAATTCAACATCTGTGTACACTACAAAATGATCACTACCACAAGTCTAGTTACCACCCATCACCATACACTTGACCCCCTTCACCTATTCTGCCCACCCCCAACCCCTTTCCTGTCTTCACCAGTAGTCTTTTCTCTATGAGTTTTTGTCTTATTTCCCTTGTTCATTTGTTTTGTTTTGTGTTTAATTCCACATGAATGGAAATCATACAGTATTTGTCTTTCTCCCTTTGACTTATCTTACTTAGCTTAATAGGTCTGTTACCAAACCCAAGTTCAGCTGCCCATCCCTTGAAAGGCCTTTATTCAAGAGAGGGGTTTTTGATTGGAAAGGAACTTGAGCTTTATTCAGGAGGCCAGGAACCTGGGGAGAAGGCAGACTCTTGTCCAAAAGCCAACTCCAAGGTTTCTGCCTGGACCAAGGGCTTTTAAAGATGTTTAGGGAAGCGACAAACCATGAGAGACTATGGACTCTGAGAAACAAACTGAGGGTTCTAGAGGGGAGGGGTGTGGGAGGATGGGTTAGCCTGGTGATGTGTATTAAAGAGGGCACATTCTGCATGGAGCACTGGGTGTTATACACAAACAATGAATCATGGAACACTACATCAAAAACTAATGATGTAATGTATGGTGATTAACATAACATAATAAAATAAAAAAATAAAAAAGATAGAGAGGATCTTGTTTATATTTTCTATTTATCTGTTTCACATTTTCAACTGATGGAAAACATAATAAAAGTTTTAATATCCTTCTCTGGTGGTTCTAAAAAAAAAAAAGATGTTTAGGGAAGTTAATCAGCAAAGGGAGTACAGTGGTCCACAACATTTCTTGATTTCATGCAGACTCGATGGTGCCAGCTACATACATTATCTCAGTCTCCAGAGTTGAGCGAAGAGGGTGCAGTTTGTATTTCATGATGTGCAGGAGGACTCTGTTCTTTCTGCAAAGGAGGGCAAGGTCTGCAAATACGCAAAGGGGGGTTAATAAAGTCATCTGGGTGACCTAGAAAAAGAAAAAACATTTTGCTAAAACATAGCTAGGCTAATCAGAAAGCCAAGGTGGCTCCTGTGGCCTGGGAAGTTTCTGGTCCTTCACTCCTCAAGCCCAGTGGTCTGCAAATCTCAAAGAAAGTAAATTAGTCCTGTTACAGATCAAGGGACTTAGGTCAGCAAGTAAGGAGTGTGTTAACTTGAATTAAGTTAACTCTTAAGACTGGTTGGAGTGCCGTTACAGGTTCATCCTTGACCTCATTCTTCTTTATGGATAAGTTGTATCCCCTTGTATAAATATACCACATATTCTTTAACCATTCATCTATCTATTTTAATGGCTATGATTGGCACTCAGCATCCATTCCTGTCTACTGTGGTTTCTGAATTACAGAGACAAGAAAACAAAACACTACAATATCTAGACTTCCCTTGAAGCTGATGTTGTGCATATAAATTGAGTTCCACCTATAATAAACATACCTGAAATCTAGAGGATCTAGTGGAAGTCATTTCTAGATGTCTTAGCAATTTCAGCTGGTGGGTAAGGTCATGGACATGTGAGATTTTCTGAGTCTCTGACTTTGTATTAAAATGCAGAACCGTGGTGATGTGTATTAAATGTGTACTAATGATGTAATGTATGGTAAATACAAATAATATTACCCCAGCCCTCAGATTTTCTGAGTCTCTGACTTTGTATTAAAATCCAGTGTCTAATCACTAGCCTCAGGGTAGGAAGAGACAGCCAGAGAGACTGTGCCGGCAGCTTCCTGGTAATCCAGCTTCTCTCAATTAGTGCAGTGACTTCTTAAGTTGAATAATTCTAATGGTGGCTTTTATGTTTCTCAATTTCCTCATTATGGGGGAGGTGGCATCTCCCAGAGTCATATCTGTGGTTTTTGGAGTTACTCCTACAGCCCTTCCTTCTAATAATTTTGTAAATGTCTGGTTCTCTGTTTTTAAGACTCTTTTTGCTTAAATACTTAGCGTGGTTTCTGTTTCCTGTGCTAAATCTTAACTAACTTATTTTCTATCCTGGTTTGTTGTTTTCGACCATGACATCCTTAATGTTCCTCTCAGCTTAACTACACTTTAGGCAGTCTTCATGACTCCAGGCCCCTGACCCCCCTTTCTTTAGAGCATTTACTTTAGAAAACTTGTTACTGTAACTTTTTTCTCTGCCCCTTTGAGATGTAAACCTTCTTTCAGGCTCTTGCCAATTTTACAACCCAGAAATGTCTTTCTCAAGCACCTGGGAGTCATCCCTCTGAAATGTAATTACAGAAGGAGATAGGGTCCCCATCCCACCCCCCATCAGGCTCTGTGGGAAGCTAGGAGCCTACTGTCAATAAGTGACAGCTATCGAACAAAGATGTCCTCAGAACATTGACCAACCTCCCCCCAGCCCAATATCCTCCAGTATTTTCCCATTAGCTCACTCCAGCTTTTGAAAATTCTCCCACCTGTCTTTGGTTCAGTGCAGTTAAATTCAATCTCTTTCCTCCGTCTCAATAATCTTTCTCTTTCTTATTGGAATACTCTTGAACAAAGTCTTCTTTGTCTTTTTAAATATGATGATTTTTTTCTTTCACAGTTCCCATCTTATGGCTTAAAGTTTTATAATGTCCTTCATAGTATTAGAAGCAAGAAGAAAACTACATCATTTTTAATTGTTTAAACTATATTGTGAATTGTTTTATTCCATCAAAAGAATATACAATAAAGGAACATTTATTTTATAAAATAATATAATAAACATTTGTGTACCTCCCATTTGCTTCAGGAAATAAAATATTAGCAATAATTCCAGCTTCTATAGTCCTCACTGAACACATTAATATTACCCCAGCCCACAATGACTGTTCTGAACTTTATATTCAACATTCCCTTAGTGTTCCTTAGAGCTTTATTATATATGTGTATATCTCTAAGCAATGTTACCAAGTTTGTATATATTTGGACTTTTATAAGAATAGTTATCAGAATGTAAGTATTTTTATGGAATATGCTTTTATGCTTAACAGTATGTTGTGGGATTCAACCATGTGAGTGACTGGTCATAGTGCCTTTTTATAAGCTCTGCAAAAATGTTTTTTCTGTATCACCTTTTATAGCCTCCATAGTAGAGATGCCTACAGAATCAACCTAGCATATGAAAGCATTACAAAGTGAAAAGAGTCTTGGATGTGGTTTTGGTAAATTTAGTCTTTTGGCAGCTCCTTCTAAGTTTGATCTGGACTCTGCCAAATCTTTTAAACTCGTGTCATGTTTTTCTTCTTACAATGCTAGATTGCATTAAATCATTTCTAAGCACCCCAGAATACTTATGTAATTGTTCTCTTATAATTTATCAGGGAAGAACAGTGAGAATAGGTTGCTAAGTAGGAACAAGAATAAGAACTCATCTCCCAATAGCCAGAATTCAGGTTAAATGCTGTTGATAATACATAGAAAAATAAAGTTTATTTTTTTATTTTTATTTTATTATTTGAGAGAGAAAGAGAGACAAAGAGCACATGAACGGAAGTTGGGGTGATAGGGGCAGAGGGAGAGGGAGAAGCAAACTCCCCGCCGAGCAGGGAGTCTGACATGACCACAGACTGATCTTAGGACCCTGTGATCATGACCTGAACAGAGACAGACACTTAACCAACTTTAACCAACTGAGTCACCCAGGTGCCCCGGAAAAATAAAGTTTTAAAAGCTAGTAACAGCTGCCTCTGAAAACCTTTGTCCCTCTGTAGAATAGTGTATTTAAGTTATAGATCATTATAAATAGATCTTTCATAAAAAAGAATCAATAGTTCCTAAAAAATGTTCTTAATGGGTACCTAGTAAACCATGGTTTGGATATTATCTTTTGGGTAGTTTAGCAATGTCGGTTGCTAGGTCGGTGATAAAGTAATGGCAAAAGACAAAAGACAAAAAAAAAAAGACAAACACACACAGTGTGTTAGTATGGAAAATTAGATCATTATGTTTAAAGAATTCTTATAGCTGATAGTCAGCTGAACATAGACATATTATTTATATTCTATAGAACCACAGCTTAAGAAATACTAACTGTAAAATGCTACGAGTATTATAAGAAAACATTTAATATCTAGAAATCTAGAGTAGTTGCTTTCCTTTGGATTTAAGATTCATACTAAATGGAAGTATTGGGGTACCTGGGTGGCTCAGTCTATTAAGGTTCTGCCTTCATCTCAGGTTATGATCCCAGGGTCCCAGGATCAAGCCCCACGTCAGGCTCCCTGCTCAGCAGAGAGCCTACTTCTCCCTCTCCCTCTGCTGCTCCCCTGTTTGTGCTTGCTCTCTCTCTGTCAAATAAATAAATAAAATCTTTAAAAATAAATAAATAAATGGAAGTATAGAGTGTGTTTATTCCATTGCCTTCTATATGTTTATTCCAAGATAAAATAAAGATATTTGGATATGTAATGTAGAACAGCTCCAGAGATACGAGCCAAAACTTTATTTTATAGATGCTTGCTTCCATTTTTACATAACTATGTAATTTTAGGGCAAATTATTTATCTTCTCTTGTCAACGTCTAGTGCGTTGGGGTCCCTGGGTAAGGGTCTACGAAATCACCAGGACACAGGGGATGCAGAGCAAAGGCAGCACTTGCAACTGCATCCTGCCGTTTATTACTCACATAGCTATATACTCGCAGTGATCAGATAAACATAACAATGTGTACTTAAAGTATCAACCCAACATCCATGAAGTAAGATACATAAGAACAAAATATATCCTGTTTATATCCTGTTTATGCTTGCAGGATAAAGAATTCTCTTAGCCATCCTTCCTTTGGAGACAACATGTTCTTTGTCTTTAGAAAGAACACTTCTGATTAGAAAGACACACTTTAAGCTAGGCAAGAGCCACTTCCTGCTGATCCAGGCATTTAGGCCTTGCAACATGAGATAAGGGGAAGAGAACATTTTCTCCTCCTGGCCCAGGCCTGCCTGGCCGTCCTTAACCTCAGTGCAGTCCTCAAATGACCCGGGCCTGCAAGGGACTTACAAGCCTACATCATCTCAATTCCTTCTTTTTTCTTTTGTTTTAATAAAAGTGCCCTCCAAAGGATGGCCATAGAATTCTGGGAAGGCTTTAGATAGCAAAAATGCAACAGCATAAAGCATAAGATAACAATCAACAACAATACAAGTCCCATTCCTCCAGCAGTATGCCCCAAACTCTGAATAATACCTTTTGGATCTAGTCCCTCAAGTTGCTTAAGAAGTAAATTGGCCAACGTAGCGGCATCTGATACAGTAAGCAAGGCACACATAGCCAAGAATAAATTGTCAGGCGTACAAGCCTTCCCCGTTCGCTGCAGGATTTTTTGCCCCTCCCCACTAAGCTTTTTAATTTGCCCCCAAGTCGGCAAAGCAGTAGCAAATGTCTGCTGGCGGCGACGTCGTCCTCCCAAATTCAGATGTGCCATGGCCTGTAATGGAAGTTCATCTTGGTCTGGATTCCCCATCCGTCGCCTGGTGGGATACGGTGCCGTTTGAATTGGCCCTCGACCGGATCCATCGCGCGGGGACCAGGAACAGGTCCGTCCATCCTCTGTGGAGACATAAGCATAACCCTTCCCTCTGCAAAGCAATAGCCCCGGTTGCCATTCTGCATCTGCAGTCGGTTTAAGCCATATATGTTCCTTTAATGGAGGGGGAGCGACCTCTCCCTCTATGAACTGTTTCTCTGCACGGGAGAGGATATCTCCCTGCGGAAGATTCAAGAAATTTAATGTGAACAGAGCTTGTTGCAAAATGGAACGTGCATTTGATTGAGTGAATGCTAAGATATGATCCTTTTTCCTCCTTTTTAATTTTTTAATTTGTAACTTTAAAGTACTATGCGCACGTTCTACAATGGCTTGCCCTTGAGGATTGTATTCAATGCCTGTTTTATGCATGATACCATATTGTTCACAGAAAGTTTGAAATTTTTTACTGCTATATGCAGGTCCATTATCTGTTTTAATAATAGATGGTAAACCCATCACAGCAAAAGTTTCTAAGAGATGGGTGATAACATGTTGTGCAGTTTCACCACTTTGTGCTGTGGCCCATATAAATTGAGAATATGTATCTATTACCACATGTACATACACACAAAGTTCAGAAAACCACATCTGCCATTGCAGATACTCAGGCTCCTTTAAAAGAGCCCGACAGAGGACCCTCCAGTCCTCAGGAGAAAAATTGTTATAATGTCGAGCCAGACCATTAACTAGCTCCTTAACATAATGTGATTGAGGTCCATATAAAGACACTGCCTTTTTCAAGCGACCAATATCTTCTATACCTATTCCTTCATAATATGGTGCTTGTGCCACCCCCTGGATTGGGGGAGGCCTGAGAACAGGAAAAGCAAAGACAGAATTAGCTGCGCCACCCTCATCATCGCTATCCTCTAGCGCATCAAGCTCAGCTAAAGCAGCAGAAAGGAAAGGATTTTTAGAAGAAAGAGCTGGTACAGACGGCAAAGGTGGAGCAGAGGGCTTCCTAGAGGGTTTCTTAGACTCTTCCGCCATAGCCATAACCTGCTGAAAAACCTTCCACACACGCTCCACCTCGGGATCCGACTTTACTTTCGGTTTTGGTTTTTCATTACCACACTTGCTAGGCTCACGGGATGGTGTAAGCTTAAAGGTATCTTTCTCTACCGCCCTTTTCTCATCCGTATCTAAAGGGAGGTCTTGTATAGAAGGAGCCATCTCCTTATGGAAGTCTTCGACCGTGCGGTCATCCTCCTTCGCTTTAAGCACTGTAAAAATAATCGACCAAATAGACCAAAACCGCACGGGAATTTTTTCTCCCTGTCTCATTGCCTTCTCGACATTATGTCGAACTCGCCGCCAATTATCTAAATCTAAAGTTCCCTCCTCTGGAAACCAAGGATTCCATTCTCGAACCACCTTTAAGCACAGCTCAATATCATTAGAAGCAACAGTAATACCATAGACAGCAAGTGAATGCTTCAGCATTCGAACATAAGGAGTAGAAGTTTCTTGTCCCATAACCCTGTACTTAATCAAGTTACTCACCCTTCCTGAACGTCCTTCAGGGTCCCTGTTCGGGCGCCAATTGTCAACGTCTAGTGCGTTGGGGTCCCTGGGTAAGGGTCTACGAAATCACCAGGACACAGGGGATGCAGAGCAAAGGCAGCACTTGCAACTGCATCCTGCCGTTTATTACTCACATAGCTATATACTCGCAGTGATCAGATAAACATAACAATGTGTACTTAAAGTATCAAGCCAACATCCGTGAAGTGAAATATACACGAAATTCAATAAGAACAAAATACATCCTGTTTATGCTTGCAGAATAAAGAATTCTCTTAGCCATCCTTCCTTTGGAGACAACATGTTCTTTGTCTTTAGAAAGAACACTTCTGATTAGAAAGACACACTTTAAGCTAGGCAAGAGCCACTTCCTGCTGATCCAGGCATTTAGGCCTTGCAACATGAGATAAGGGGAAGAGAACATTTTCTCCTCCTGGCCCAGGCCTGCCTGGCCGTCCTTAACCTCAGTGCAGTCCTCAAATGACCCGGGCCTGCAAGGGGCTTACAAGCCTACATCATCTCATTCTCTAAGTTTAATTTTCTCATCTACTGAATAGAGATTGTAATAATAGCTACCTGATAGAATGATTATGAAGATAAACTGTGATAACTTATATAAAACATCAAGTCCAATTATAACAAGTAGTTAAGAGTATATATAAACTGTATATATAAGCTATTACTATGATTATTATTAAAAATTGAATAATGCTTTGTGATTGTGTTTAACAGGATGGTCAGGACATCACTGTGAGAATGAACTTGAGGAGTGCATTTCCAACTAATGTGTTCATGGAATATGCACAGAAAATGAACCTGGCTTTGGCTCAACATGTTTATACATATCTGGATTTGTGGTAAAGATTATTGGTGCTTTTGTTGTCATACTTTTTTCCTTGTCTTTAAAATTCAGTAAGTAATAGAAAATTTTCTGGTGGAAATTAGGTTGGAGAAGTCAATATTAGTGTTTCTCTCTTTCTCTGACTGTACATACTCCTTCTCAGCATTCCCCTTTCCCTTGTACCCTCATCACATGTACCCTCAGCCTTTCCTTTCAGGAGAAAAGCATTCTGATAAATTGGTTCACACTAAGGTGCAAGTCACTTAATGTATTGTCCTTTAATGTTTTAATGCATTTGGGAGGAGGATGCCAGTAGAGGAATTACTTAATATTGTCAGTCTTGGCAGAACTTCTGCTTTGCCCAAGGACATAGCACAGCTTCCAGAGTTGGATGGATCCAACGAGGATGGATCTGCTTTTGTTGCAAGTCTGGACTGATCTGAACTCCATTAACACTAGAATGAACTTACCTTGGTAGAAATGTCTCTATTAAAAGATAGCTTCTGACCACAATCTTTATTAAAACTGACCACAGTACATGAATAGAGTAAGGGAACAGCAGTTGGCAAGACTGTGATGTCAAGAATTTTAAATGTATATTTACTCATATCATTAAAAGACAGACCAGTCTAAAATGATATAAAGGCTAAGTAGTTAGAAAGGACAGTCAGGTGACCCAGTGCAAGATTAAGCACACTTAAAGGGAAGGTGAGACTTGCCCAGTGCCTAAGAATGATGCATACGTATGAATAGAACCAGACTGCTCAAAGCTGGAAGATGAGAAAGGAAAGGTCAGAAGCAGGAGTCTCCAGAAGTAGTTAAGGAATTAAATAGAAAAATGGTCAATAACTCATCAAAACAAAATAATTTGAGAAAATCTAGGCTTGAGTCAGATACTCTTCCCTTTTGAAGGGTATTCCCAAGGTTCATTTGTCTGAGAGAGCCTGTCTGAGAGATAAACTAAATCAGAACTGTCACCTTCCTTTTTCTAAGAGTCCTCCCCTCCTGGCTTTGCCCCGGGGAAAGGTTTTTCCTACTGATCGCAGAAGGATGATCTTTGAGGCAGAATTTTAGGCACTCTGACACCTGAGTGTGGGAGGTACTTGGTGACAAGAAATTAATTTTATGATACCTCAGATTATACCAATAATGGCTTCCTTAAAGAATCAGTAGAAAGAAAAAGACTGAAATGAATCCTTTATTTAACTAAATTCTCCTGCAAGTACAGACTGATAAATGGAAATCTAAATAATTGGAAAATAAATGCTCATTTTATATATGGTTATTTTTTGTTTTGTTTTGTTTTTATTGAACTCAAAGAATGTACTGCCAAGTAGCCTTAAAATTCCTTCCAGTAGTTAATCTCTAGGATATATGCTTTCACACTGGAATATGAATCAATTAAAACTTGTGCTATCTCGGGGCAGCTGGGTGGCTCAGTCAGTTAAGTGTCCAACTCATGACTTCGGCTCAGGTCGTGATCCAGGGCCCTGGCATTGAGCCCCGCATTAGGCTCTGCTCTCCATGTGGAGTCGGCTTGAGAGTCTCTCTCCCTCCGCCTCTGCTCCTCACCCCACTTGCACTCCCTCTCTCTCAAATAAATAAAATCTTAAAAAAAAAAAACCTGTGCTATCTCTTTTAATAAAAAACATCAAATCTGAAGGATAAATACATTCTATTAGTTCTATTAGTATATATTGAAAATACAAAAATCTTAAAAAATATGTAGTTTTATAAAACCCCAAGTCTACTAAATGGAAGGAAGTGTTATAGATGTAATAAACTATATTTTAGTAAGGCATTTAGTAAATTAATTTGAAGTGGATATTTTTGGTTACTCTCCCAAATACCTGAAAGCTAAAATAGAACTTAAAAAACTATCATAAGAGATAATGCTGTGTGAAAAGCTGTAAAGAGATAAAGGAGATTCTATTCTGTTAGTGCATTAGTTATATTCTAAAATGTGTAAAAAGATAGATAAATTTTGGTTTATTGAAAAAGAATTTAACATTTAAATGTTCTGCCTATCACAGATATTTAAAATTAGATATACTTAAAGGTATACCCTTGAAAAATAGTACATAAATTATTAATTGGAACAAAGAGCAAAATATTTTGAAGAACTATAGGAAAATCAAAGAAAATCTTTAAAGTCTTTGTTGGAATGAGAGAAATATTAGTACCAAGTTAGAATCATAAATATTGAAATAAAAGAATAAAATGAAAAAAATATTTTGAAAACAGGTATGGCAAATGCATAAGATCACTGAAAAATCACCTTTTAGATTTCTTTTCTCCCTTTTCCAACAATCCTGAGAGTAAATGGGATATTAAAAAAAAAAATAGAATCAGATTCATCATGAAATGTCAAACTTCACTGGTTTCTTATATTCTTAAAAAAGAATGTCATTCACAGAAAGATATAAAATTTGAGAGAAGCTTAAGAAACAAAGCAGTTAGATGGATTAGAAGACAAGTAAGTTGTGTAAAATGTGTTAGGATTAAGGACTATATGTGTATGTAGAGTTTAGTGAACATGAAAACTGTGGGCATAGGGAATATTGATAATTCACAGAGGACGTAGGTCATGGCATTCTAGCAGCAAAATAGATGGAAAGAGACTAAATATTATATCAATTATCAATTCTAATAAAATATTTAGAATAAATATTTAGAATAAAATGCCCACTCTGATAGACTGTGAGCCTGAGTAGGTATAATTTTAGTATCCCTAAGAGCACAGAATATAATACATATGTTTTTATTTTGGTTATCATTGTTGAGGTTGTTTTATAAAAGTCTTAACATATTAATCATAGTTGTTTTAAATTTCTAGTCTGATAATTTCAAAATCTCTCCCATATCTGAGTTGGGTTTCTCTTCAAATCGTACTTTTCATCTTGTAGTATGCCTTGTAATTTTATGTTTATAGCCAGACATGGTGTGCTGGATATAAGTAATTGATGTAAGTAGATCTTTAGTATAAGACATTTTTTTATCTGGCTAGGAGTCAAGCCATGTTTACTATTGCCATAGATGTCAGAGGCTATATTTTCTCCTGACATCCCTGTTTTGGTCTCCCCTGTAATCATTGGGTTTTCTTAGGACTTCTTCAATAGACCTGAGATGAGCATCTCTTTCAGTTAGAACCCCTTATTATTATAAAGGAGTGCTATTGATGTGGTCAAGGTATGGAGGGAAGGGAAGCTTTCAATAGTTCTATGATTAGGTCTCAGTCTTTCAGTGACTCTGGGCTGTGACCTTCACATGTGCTTCTCAGTCCCCCTCGCCCTTAGATGTGACAAGAAAGCTGCATGAGGCTAGAATTTCCTTTCTCCCAGATTGATTAGGCTCTGGTAAAATCGTTCTCCTCCAGGTCAGGCCTTGTTAAGAACAAGATAATGTTCTGGGAGTATTCCGAAACAGCTATTCTCTCCCCATAGTGGAAGTGCAGGGGGACTTTTCTCCCATCTTCATTGTGAGAACCTAGTAGAATCCCTGGATGTAAAACTTATGAAAGTATGAGGATCCCCTACGACTGGACATCTCTGGAGTTCTTAACTCTCAAGATTGTCCACACTGGACCTCCAGCATTCTGACAGTTACAGTTTGTTTTCCCACCCTGGTACTGGATCCTTCAGTGGTTTCTGCCCCTCAGTTTCTGCTCTGATGAGCTATGATTCTCTGTACCTGCTCGACTGTCCCTCTAATCTGGTAGAGAGCCAGTTTCCCCTGTGACCGCAATTCTCGAAAGATCTAAGATAGGAGTCCTTGATTTTTAGTTTGTTCAGCTTTTCATGTTTATGAAGAAGGGAGGGATGATTTACAAGCTTCTCACAAGCCGGACCAAAAACCAGAAGTCTTGTGATTGTTTTAAGAATGAAAGGACCTATGAATATATTTAATAAGGAAAATAGATGAATTTTCCTTCATTCATGAAATTCAATGTGTCTCATAAAAAAACTGATTTCCTTATTCTAATTACATTTCTCAGGTATCTCACCTCAGATGATTGTTCTGTTTTCCAGAGTTGCTAGAGATTTTAATGGAATGCTTAAAAGATGCCAATTTAGCTGGCAATCAGATTCACCACTAGCATGTAGAAAATAAAAAAAATTATAAGTTATCTCGCACAAATAAGTATACCACTTGATATAGTATCAGATACAATCTCTGTTAAAGTGCATTGCAATATATCAAATTATTGGGCATATATGAGCATTGGATTTCTGATTATAGTGATACAGCAATACTTCCGAACTATTAAGGCTTTTACTGAAATAATTTGTAGGAATTCTCTTTACATTAAGTCTGTTTATGTTAACCTAAACTTCTCTCTGATGGTCTTCTTTTTCAAATAGATCTTCAGAAAGATGCCACATTCTTTCTATGTTCCTTCTATTTAAGCTATTTTAAAAACCCTCACTAATTACATTGTCATATAAAAATGTGAACTCGGCTGTATGTTTGTGAGATTAGAGAAAATTAATATTACTACAATTATTATTTGTTTGATAATAAAGAATAATTTGAGAAGTGAATAGCCACTACGGGATAGGGAGATGGAAATCTAATTTTTTTTCTTTATTTCTGAGAATTAATTTTTGGTAGATAAATTAAAGACTTGAACTCTCAGGTTTTTATAATGTTTAGAGCTGTGACAATCTCTGACAAAT